GCGGGTCTTCACCTAGTTAAAGATTAAACATTAACTCCTTACACCCAGAATAAATCTCATGTTTGAACGACCCTTGAGCGTCTTTGTCTCCTTGACTTTTCGGACAAATTCTAATAATCAGAAACGAGATGGGCTGAGTCTGTTATTCACCTTGGGTTTAGAAGAAATACCTCCTGGATGCCAAACATAAATTTGCACGTTTCCAATCCAATTGCGCCTAGAACTTTTCATGTATAGAACCAGCTCGACCCATTTTGCAAAATGAGAAGTATCTGTGGGATCCAATGTCTATTGCTTCTGATCTTGGGCTTGTTGGAACCAGAAGAAATCTCTTAATATTCTCCAAGTGGTATCGTGTTGATATCGTTTCTGAGTCGGGCTGTGTAACACGATCTTTTTCTCTGACGCGTAACTAGGCTTGGAACAGATCCACCGATTTGTAAAATCCATATCTTCCAAGTCTGACCCGGTTTTGATGTGAATCTAATTCTACCTGATTCTGTGATGGATCACAATTCCAGAACATGTCGGATTAAGCTTATTACCTTCTGGCTTGGTCGAGATCGAGAAGCTCGAGTTTGCCTGATTTGAAAACTGAATAACTTCTTCATCTGAGCTTGGATTGGACTAAAACCAATTCGTGGTGTGCTCTAGATGAGCTGAGATATTAATACAAGTGGTCTTTGGGCTGGACCAGCTGAGATTAGCTCCCATTTGTACTGAACATGGCACATATGTCTTTTTGGGTGTTTTCAGTATCATATGAGTACTTGAATATGTCTCTCAAAGTTGTATACTGCTTCGAATAGGATCTAGTAAGTAGATTGATTGATCTATTTAACTGGTTTCAATACTAATACTTGATAGCTCCAGAACTCGTTTTAGAAATTCATCAAGCTTTCCCATCTATATTCCAATGTTTCACCATCTCAAAACTGTAGAACTCCTGCTTAAGGTAGATTCTATTTCCAACGAGTTCCATATAGTTTCATATGGACTAAGTTATAAAGAGAAGTTGAAGCAATTAAGAGTAGGTTTGATAATTTCCCACAACTACGAATTAAAAAAAAAAAAGGTTTGATATGGTACCATATCATAGACGAAACCGACCCTAAACTAACAGAAACCAAATAGAGTAGGTTTGAAAATTTTATCCGAACCGAATCGAACCAAATAGAGTAGGTTTGAGAATTTTATCCGAGCCGAATCGAACCAATTATTTTGGTTTTTGGTTGGTTAGTAGCGTAAACCAAATGGCGTCTCGTCTATATCATAATAGTTCGGGTAAGTCCGACTGGTTCGGTTCAGGGTACAGCTCGTTACCCATAAAAACCGAAAAGCTAAACCAAAAAGATGGTTTTTGTCGAGTTTTCATTTCTTCAGCCGAAACCTTTCGAAGCTCAATCAGCTCGTGTCGAAGCAAGATTGCTTCTTTCTCATCATAATCGACGGTTAGTTTCTTGTTCTCTTCATACTTTATTCGTTTTTTTACTAAAGCTCGAAACATTCTGATTTGTTTATCGATTGATTCATCATAGTCTCTTCTTTCTTGCGTTATCAAGAGTTTGTAGATTTGGCTTTGCTAGATTTTACTGAGGAATCTGATTTTGATCCTTAAGTAACCTAAAATTCGGACTAAAGATACTTATGGAGTTGTTCTTGAAAAAAAATTGGATAGAATCCGTGTAGTCATTGTGAATTGTTTTTTTCAGAAAAACTTGCATTGAATCTTTTTTTTTTTGTGTGTTTTACATTATTGAGCTTTTGTAGATTCAGATTTTTTTTGGTTGTTCGGTTTAGCAAACTCGAAATCAACTGAAATTAAACAATTTTGAACCGATTCTATATATATATATATATTTTTTTTTTTTTTTAGCAAAACCGATTCTAACCAAATATGCAAAAATAACAAAGAATCTATATGACATACTGTATAATAATCTCAGATCACCTGATTGGGTACTCCTTCCAACTTTCTTCGTCGACTCTCTAGGTCTCTCTGCTAAAAGTCTCATAGTCCGATTCAGAGAGGACGAAGGTACAAGATGGATTTGATGGAGAAGAACTTGGAGTTACTCGAGGTTCAGAAACTTGAAGGCCACACCGATCGGGTTTGGAACGTAGCCTGGAACCCCGTAACCTCTCACGCCGACGATACTTTGCCGCTTCTTGCATCTTGCAGTGGCGATAACACCGTACGAATCTGGGAACAGAGCTCACTTTCTCATTCCTGGACCTGCAAGGTCTCTCTTAATCTTACTGCTTTTTTGTTACCTCAAAAAATTTTGTGCGTTTTGTTCCGAATCTCTAAAGGGCTGAGTGTTGTGTTAGGTCTTGTGCTATCAGCCCTTAAACGTCAAAGCTTAGTTATATGAGAATTTTCATTGTATACTGTGATTGCTCAGGCAGTTTTGGAAGAAACTCACGCAAGAACTGTGAGGTCGTGTGCTTGGTCACCTTCAGGAAAGTTATTGGCCACTGCAAGTTTTGATGGTACAACTGCTATTTGGGAGGATATGGGGTCTGAGTTTGAGTGTATTTCTACGTTGGAGGTACTTCCTTAGCCACAATACTGGGTAATATCTGCTGCTGCTAAGCAACATAGTCACTGGCTAGTCAAGATCGCTCTTTATGGATTTCAGTGTTCACTTCATAATTCAATATTCATTTCTCTCAAAAAAATTTAGGTTGTTTTCTCATGCTTTGAGCACATGTTCTTAGCTAGTATAATCTTATTAAAAACAATTTTTTGTATGCAGGGACATGAAAACGAAGTCAAAAGTGTATCATGGAATGCTTCTGGTTCATACCTTGCAACTTGTAGTAGAGACAAGTCTGTGTGGATATGGGAAGTGCTTCCAGGGAATGAATATGACTGTGCTTCGGTGTTAAATGGGCATACACAAGATGTGAAGATGGTCCAGTGGCATCCCACCATGGATGTTTTATTTTCTTGCAGTTATGATAACACCATCAAGGTAATGAGAATACACTGATTGGGTTCCGTGATGCAAAAATTGAAACTCTTTACGAATGAAAAAAAAAAATCTTAATTTAATAGCATTAGTTGCGTGCTACTCACAGGTTTGGTGGTCTGAAGATGATGATGGTGACTATCAATGTGTCCAAACCTTAGATGAATCTAACAAGTAGATCCCCTACTTGCTTGTTCTTCTTTATATGCCTTCCAATTGTTTTAATTTTAATAGGCTCTTACATTTTGTAGTAGTAGATTAATATGTGCCTTTATTCTTCACACAGCGGTCACTCCTCTACTGTTTGGGCCATCTCGTTTAACGCTGCAGGGGACAAGATGGTCACTTGTAGGTTGGTAACTCTCCTCTCCTTGTCTCCTATAGTCGTTCTAAAAGCAAAGTAATCCGCCTTTGGTTACTATTCTGACAAGATCAGGCTTGCCTAAATTTGTACTTGCAGTGATGATCTAACCGTGAAGATATGGGAGACAGATATTGCAACGATGCATTCTGGTGAAGGATATGCACCTTGGTGAGAATATTAATGGCTTACATGTAATCTGTATTATTTTTCTTACAGTTCAGAGCTTGACATAACATGCAGCCTATGAAATTATGTAACTTCTCCAGTATATTTCCGTCCAACTTCTACTAATCGAACGCCTACCTGCTTGGACTTTTCAGGACTCATCTTTGTACACTCTCTGGTTATCATGACCGTACCATATACTCAACTCACTGGTCAAGGTATTGGCATTTCACCTCGTCTCTTTAAATTGTGATGTAATCCTCCGAACCTCTTAGTAATATACTGTGCCGCCTAAAAGGAAAATTCTTTGTTGTACTTGTACCTGATAATTGTGACTTTCAGTCCATTTTAATAAGCTGTATTGTCTTCTTCTCCGAAGTTCTTTCGTAAGGCCTAGCTGAGTTTGAAATCCCAGTAGTGTTTACTATATATCCTCTGGATTTTTGTGATGTCTTTTTCTTTCTAACACCTTGATAGGGATGACATTATTGCCACTGGAGCAGGCGATGATGCTATACGGTTGTTTGTGGACAGCAACCATGACTCTGTAAGAAAATTTCATCTCATGTTTCACTTCTAAACAGAATTCCCTTTTATTTCAATATGGTCTTGAGTACAATTTGGCTACATATTTCATTATTTCCATATATATACGTCCAACTTTCGTAGCACAATACAAGAAACCAGATTCATGTCACAGTCTCTATTTCCTTCTAGTCTGGCCAGTGGTTTTCCACTTAACAATTAAACATTTTCCTCTTCTTCTTTGAACTTAAAAAAGTTGTTTGTCTGTGCAACCAGGTTGATGGACCGTCATATAATCTTCTGCTGACGAAGAAAAAAGCACATGAAATGGATGTAAACTCTGTCCAATGGTCACCCGGTGTAAGTACCATGTATCTTATGAAGTAATAAAAACGAATGCATACAGCCTCATACTTCATATATGGTTGCAATAGTGAAGTAAAGACTATGAAATCTTATAATGTAGCTTACAATATAGAATATAATACCAAAGCTTTGTTGTAGGATGAGAGAGACAGTCGGTTGTGGCTAAATTTTTGTTGCATAGAATCTATGATATTAAGCTTGCGGTTGTTACCTGAAACAGGAGGGGAACCGGTTGCTTGCCTCGGCCAGTGATGATGGGATGGTCAAGATTTGGCAGCTTGCCGCTAAACCTTGACTGGTGTTGGTTTTGGTTAGGTCCCGAAAGTCATATGATGCTTATTTTTCCTGAGGTATATCAAGAAGAGAACTCTATACCATATTGTCATATGATATATAAGGTTCAAGATATTTCATAAGATTTTTCTATTTTGTCCTAGGATAAAAAGTTTTTATGTTATTTCGTAAGAGCTTCATTCATCCCACCATATAGTCTATATTCTCATATAAGTTATCAAATGGTATTGTATTCGTAAAAGACTGATTCTATTATTATGAATAAGGATTCTCTCAAGCCCTGGATGCTTCTGGGGGATTTTGTTCATAACTCCTGTTTGTGTCAGTTGTTGATAATACCACGTTTAAAATGTAAATCACTTTTCTCAAGTAAGGACCGAGAGTGTTACAATCTCCTCCCGCATCAGTGTACACAGGACAATGAGAAAATGAAAAGAAAAAGTCCTTATTTGTATTTCATATTACTTGAAGACAAAGAGAGATGCATGACCATTTCAAACAAAGATGAATAACAATTAGGACGATTTGGTTTTATATTTTACACATTTTCTTTACAGAACTCAATAATCCAGCAGTGATAAGCTTGACAAACGAACTTGCAGTGGGTGAAGCCGGAAGCTGCAGCAAGAGCTTCAAACTCAGCTCGTGACCTTTCTTTACCACCGGAACATTGTGTGAACATTAACATGTCCATGTCAAAGGCAATGTTTGCGTTGATGTCTCCATTCTCCGTGTCATCAGGAGTTACTAATTCTATTACAACCACTTTACCATTCTTTGGTAGAGATTTCCAACAATTTTTGAGAATCTTTACGCAGTCTTCGTCTGTCCAGTCATGAAGTATACGCTGTAAAACAAATATAATTTTAAATGTAAGTACAAAATACTTATGTTCATACACTTTCAAGGACTATATATTAATTGTTGAACTTACTTTCAAGATCATGGCATCTCCGGTTGGAATATCAATGAACATATCTCCGGCGACATGTTCCACTCTAGGGTAAGAACGTGCTTGTGCCAAGGCACAAGTGAGATCGAAGTTGATACCTTTAATGTTTGGATATTTTGAAGTAACAACACCAAGAGTGTTACCAACTCCTCCTCCCACATCAACCAACACATTTACACCATCAAAACCGTCATAAACTTCAAGAGCCTTCTTAATGACCGCAATGGTGAATCCCGTCTGGTTAAAGAGTTTGCTGAATCTCTCATCTGTTCCCATATAATCGAAGAGTTTCATGCCGCCATGTGCGCGACAAAATGCATCCCCTCCTTCCAGCACCACATCTTTCAATTGTGCCCTGCAAAAATGGTGTGTCGATTTTCGTAAGATTCTTATAGCGTATAAATTAGCGGCTTCTTATAGAACCAAAACATCATTGAATACAAAATTTACCAGGTATTAAGAAACACACTGTCGAAATTGACAATGACTTGAGAGGCCAAAGATCCAATATCTTGAATATTATTCTTCAAGAAAAACCTACAAATCGGCTTGGCTCTATAGACCCTCTCGCCTTTTCCAGCTTGGATCGTACCGCACTTGACCATTGAATAGCTAGCAAGTAGACGAAGCATACGATCCAACAAAGCTGGTGCCTCAGGGTTACGGGGCTTGGTTGGTAGCTGACTCGCTAACTCGAAAGGTGTGAGGAACTCGGAGGCAGCATAGAGGGTGTCAAAGACACCGAGCTCGAGGGCAGCTTTGAGAACCATTGGAAAGGCTGCAGCATTGGCTAGTCTAACGGCCATCAAACCCAACTCATTATCATCATCAATAAAAATTTGAGTTTTAGGGTTTGAGCTTAACGTTTCTTCAAGGTATTCCATTTTTTCTCTTTATTATCTTGCTTCTTCTTCAAGGTAACGTATGTGATTACACTCAAAGAGATAGAGAGTCTTTGTGTGTGTGTATGTTAGTTTTTGGTGATGTTAAGGATGATGAATAATGGATCTTAGTTTCTTCTTCTTTATAGCTAAATCTTATAGCTCCTTCTTTCTTATCTTATTTTTTTATTTTTTTTCTACGTTTGTTTATAATTTCTACAATAATTTCATAGAATTTATATTGTTTATTTGTTGCCGGTCCATTTGGCTGGCTGAACAGTCTATATAGAAAAGTGTGTGTGTGTTTTTGTTTTTGGTAATGTTAAGGATGATGATATATGGATCTTAGTTTTCTCCTTTTTTTATAGCTAAAGCTTAGCTTATTCTTTGTTTTTGTTCCTACGTTTGTTTAGTTTATTTCTACAATAATTTCATAGAATTTATATTGTTTACTTGTTGCCGGTCCATTTGGCTGGCTGAACAGTCTATGTAGAAAAGTAAGAGACTTTTGTGCCGGCTAAAAATAAATAAATATTCTTGTTTTGTTATGAACTACAACTAAAATAAAGTGAGATATATATGTGTTTATATATACCATTTAAAAGGAAATCATATTATGTGTCCAAACAGAATTTACTTAGTTTTCTATTATTTTGTTTTTAGATAACTAGATCCATTGCAAAACAAAATATTTTAATTTAATTAATTTAATTTATTTATTTTGAAATAAAATAATATATTTAAATTTTATCTTTAAAATTAATTTCGAAAAAATTCAAATTTTAATTCAATTAGTTTAGATTTTCTTAGATATAAGTTAGATTAATTATTAAAATTACAAAAATTAGTTGTTATTATCTTTATAAAAATAGGAAATAGAATATTAGTTTATGTTATATTTAAATATATCATAATGATAAAGATGATAAATGATATATTCTTATATACTTTTTCATTATCAATTTCATTTTTAAAAATAATTTTGAAAAATTTAAATTTAAATGTAATTAGTTTAAATTTTCGTAGATATATAGGTTAGTTCAAATATTTAAATATTTTAATTTAAAAAATTTTTATATTAAAAATTAATATAAACGGATGAATTAAAATTATGTTTTTATATTCATGGTTTTTTTCAGATTAATTGAATGAACGGGTTCAAATTATTGTTTTGTGTCCAAACAGAATTTATTTAGTTTCTACTATTTTGTTTTTGGATAACTAGATCTATTGCCAAATGTATAATTTTAATTTAATTTTTTTCTAATTTATTTATTTTATAAAATTAATACATTAATATATTTTAATTTTATCTTTAAAATTATTATCGAAAAATTCAAAATTTAATTCAATTAGTTTAGATAGATATAGGTTAGATTAATTATTAAAATTATAAAAATTATAAAAATCAGTTGTTATCATCTTTATAAAAATAAGAAATAGAATATTAATTTATATTACATTTAAATATTCAAATTTAAATAATATTCTCATAAAGATAAAGATGATAAATAATATATTATTATATACTTTTTCATAATCAATTTTCTCTTTAAAATTAATTTTGAAAAATTCAAATTTAGTTTAATTAGTTTAGATTTTCTTAGATATATAGATTAGTTTAAATATTTAAATATTTAAAATTAAAAAATCTTTATATTATATGGTAATATGAATAGATGAATTAGAATTATGTTTTTATATTCATGGTTTTTTTCAAATTAATCTAATGGACATGTTAAAATTATTGTTTTATATTCCTGGTCAAATTATTAAAAATAAATCAATCTAAAAAATAAATTTTATCTAAACACAAAAATAAATTTGTGTCATTTATTAAAAAAATATTATATTTATAAAACACAAATTATATTATACAATTAAATTAAAACGTAAATTTTCTACGCGGAAAGACATAGTAGAATCTAGTATTATATTATATGAGAGACGAGATAGAGGGGAGAAGGAAGAAAAAACATTTCTCTTCTTTACTTTACATCAACGAAGACAACATATTTATAGTAGAAAGAAAAAACATATATATATTATTATTTGAGTATACATTAATATAAACGAACCTTTATTTGTAAGATATTACGAAATATTTTACATAAATAAAAATTTATTTATAAGATATTACATAAACAAACTTTTACTTATAAAATATTATCCAAATAAAATTTACAAATATAGAAAGCTCAATTATATATTCCTCCATAAGAGATAGTTAAATATAGAGTTCACAGATTTATTTTGAATATATATGGATATAAATCAAAAGTGCATTTAGTTTCTTTACTGATTTTTGATTATTTTTTACTCATAAATAATAAATAATCCATATATGAAAAAAAACTATTTAAACTTTGCAATATTTTTTATTTATATTTTCATAATTTATTAGAATTACTTTCGAAAATTAATTCATTTATTTTTATAAAAATGAAATATGTTTTCAAAAATTAAGTTATATTTTTTTTACAGGTTTACCAAAAAATATTTTAATAAATTACAAAATAGATTAAATAAACTGTTTTATCCACTTTGACAATCATGTATATAATCATTATTAACAAAATATTATATAATTTATTAACTAAAATGATAGTTTGATCTCTAATAAAATATTCATAATTAAATTTTTTTATGGATATATATATATATATATTTTTTTATTTTAATCCATGTTGGTATGCATATAAGTATATATTAACATCCAATCACTTTCATATTTTATAATTACTAATAATTAAATCGCATAACAAAACTAGCTCAACGTTCTATTCGATGATATATATATATATATACAAGTAAATATCGGTTGTGTGATATTTATATATATATATATATATATGCTATCTATTTGCCACCAATTTTATTTATTTATATTTTTTAAAAAAGTTTTTTGTCACCAATTTTAATTTAACCAAAAAATAAAATTAAATATAAGATAATTTTAAAAAACATTACTCCGTACAATGTGCAGATCCTAATAGAGTAATAGTTACTGATTCATAGTCTCATAGAGGCGGTGAAACTTCCTTAAAGATAAAGTAAATAATTAAATATTACTATGGATAATTATTATCTAACACTCCTTCTTAATTATCCATCACGTAATTTTTTATCGATATAATCTTTTTTTCGTCCATCAAACTCTTGTATAAGTGTTTTCTTCTTCAGATTGATGAATCTTTCTTTTGGATAGATGATTCTTATAAATCATTAGAATTGTAACACTTTCTTTCGGTATCTTGGATATTCTTTGCGTATTCTTTGATGCTTTACTAAAAAACTCGTCATAGAAAAATCTAGTAAAATAAAAACCATGGCAACGGAAAAAATTTGCATTCACGCATCTCTTCTTCTGGATGTATTACTCTTCAAATGTTTCTCTTTTTGCGCTTTCATTTGCTGCCTCGTTAAAAACCTTGTCATTGTAAAACCCATTGGGATAAAAACTATGGTAAGGGAAAAATAGTACAACCACACATGTAATCACAGTTCTCCCTCTGGAAGCATCATCTTCAGAAAATGCATTTCAATTATATACACTATCTTTTTGAGATCTTTATAAGTAGAGACTTAGTGTCAAACTTGTATGATCGTCATTCTCGGATCCTTGGACTACTGGTCCATATATAGAGTCAGTCAAGCTCTTCCCATGAAATATATTATCCCGATTTTCCAAGCTCTTATTTTAATCATTGTAACTTGACCAACCAATTTTTTTAGATACCTCAGGCATCCTTGATCCTTCTGAGATTTTTTATCAATATATTACTGAATATGATTCCATCCATGATCGAGGAACATATCCTCTTCATAATCAATTTTCGGTCTTTGAAAATACTTTGTGCCAGTAACCAGGTTTTATATCTTGTGACTTCAATTTTCTCATTGTTAAGAATAAATACCAATATGGTCTCAAATGACATTACATCTTCAGGTGTAATGAAAATAAAAGTCCAAATACATTTTTTTTTACTGATTCTTATGGAACCTTTTTCATATTATTCTCTAATTTTATTTTTCTTATAGAGAATTTTAGAGTTCATCAGCTTTCCCATTTTTAACTGAACCTCGAGCACTTCCAAATTTTATGAACTTCAAGTTCGAAATATATATTTTGTAAGGATGATTAAATAGTATTTTCTTTAGAAATGCTTAAATCTGAGATTTTCTATATGTTAGATCTTGCTAGGATCTTTCGAGATGAGATATTCAATTAGGATACATGCAAAACAAACTTCAATATTTTTAGAATAAAATAAACTCAGATCAATCTTATCTTGAATGATATATTTATCGAGTTGAGTTCCAAGAAACATAATTTTGATATCACTACTCCTTCAGAGATGGAATCCTTCGGGGATTTTTCATGTAAAGATGTTACAACATCTATAAGGCATAATTCAAATCGTTCATGTACTGCCAGACTTAAGACATTGCATCCACCTATTTTGAATAATGTAATCAATATCAGGTATTTGGATATGATCTTGTTTGTAACAAGTTGTAAAGTCTTGTCATTTTCTCATTTTCTTTTCTGGAAAATCACATACCCTTTTGAATAATGTAATCAATATCAGGTATTTGGATATGATCTTGTTTGTAACAAGTTGTAAAGTCTTGTCATTTTCTCATTTTCTTTTCTGGAAAAGCACATACCCTTTAGATATTGATAACACCGTATTTTGACTGCTTTTATGGATCGTTTTTATATTTTTTCAATGCTTTTTATTTTTATTTTTAAAGTCTTTTTACTATGGTTTTCTAGTATTTGTAATTTCAAAACTCTTTTCAGGAAATTTAGGAAAAATCTTAGCAAAATGGATAAAAGACCAGATTTTTAGCTCAGAGTCAAACCGTCAGAAGTTCACCCTCAAATGAAGACCTTCTCACCATCTGATCCAGCTCAAATTTGGTGACCTTAAAGATGGAACAAACAGCTTTACAGCACACTTGACATCAAGAAAATCCAACGGTTCGATCAAAAGTAACACGAACAGCAAGATGTCCCGTCGACCAGCCAGCAAGCAATCCTGACTGCGGCCAGCACCCAGTTTAC